GCTCTCACTCCTAGCTAACGCTGTGACGCTGTGTGGCAGGTCGTGCAGGCGTTCCACCGCTCGCGCTCTCACTCCTAGCTAACGCTGTGTGTCAGGTCGTGCAGGCGTTCCACCGCTCGCGCTCTCACTCCTAGCTGACGCTGTGTGGCAGGTCGTGCAGGCGTTCCACCGCTCGCGCTCTCACTCCTAGCTAACGCTGTGACGCTGTGCTGGCAGGTCGTGAAGAGTGGTGAGTTGTGAAACTGAATATATGGATACTGATGGAACTGCTATATATTATAAATTAATAGTAATAATGACAATAATAATAATAACAATAATAATAATAACAGTAATAATAACAACAATAATAATAATCAATGAACGATAAATAATCATTATAACAGTTACGTAAAAATAGTAAGAATTAACTGATAGTGGTAAATACATTGACGCTACTGCGTGTAAGTTGTAACCATGACTACAACCTTGTCGGAGAGTCCCAGCAGAGTCTCGTTCAGCTCGATGACGCCGGTGTAGAGAAAGCGAGCGAGGGCGAGAAGGATCTCCTTGTGGCAGCTGAAGACGAACGTGTTTGAGCAGAGCGAGCGGTCGAGGTGGCTGCGCGTGTACGTGCTCGTCACCGCCAGCATCAGCTTGTGCACGGTGACCATGCAGCGCGCGCCGCCGCGCCCCACGATGAACGCGTCCGTCAGCTGCTCGGCGACGCGCATCGCGTTGAGCCGCGCCAGCAGCCGGTAGCCGTACCGCGTCGCCGGCTCGTCCGCATCGCTGTCGCCGCGAGACTGGGGCGCAGGCGGAGGAGACGCGCTCCCGCCCTCCTCGGCACCATTAGCGTTCGTGTCGGGAGCTGCGGTCGCTGGCTGTGCACTCTGCGTCGATGCTGGAGGTGGAACGGCATCTGTGCGGAGAGGAGAGGGTTAAACGCGCACGTGTTTAAATTTACTCATTGCCACTGTAGGGGGCGCTAGAGAAGCTCTGTCTCGATTAAACTAACACAGCCTCCGGGAGCGTCTCACGCTTCTAATACCCAATTGAAAGCTAGGTTAATTAATAGAAAACAGACCTAGCACGTCTGTTATATCAAAGGTCAGAGGACCGTTATCAGAAACAAAATTAGTTTTAACATCAGTCTTAACATTAACTTTTTCTCTCAGACCGTTGACAGAAACGCTGCCAAGTTACCTGAATGAAAAATCGTAGCAGATTTCCTCATAACAATACAAAACAAAGTGATGTCGGCGGTCTACGAGAAAATGTTAGTGTTAAGACTAATGTTAAGACTAATTTTGTTTCTGACAACAGGCTCCAGGCATACGTAATACCTCTTTGCTCATACTACTTCATCGCTCTCTACTGATATGTTATCTAGCAAACATTTTGCAGTTTGAGACATGTATGTATTAGCGTCTACCTTTTGGCTCCGTCTTCACTTGCACAAGCTGTGTCGGCACTGCCACTTTACTAGAGACAGGTGCTTTGAGTTCACTGCCTGCAGAGGAAATTAAAAAAGATTTTTAATTTTCAAGTACGCACAAGTGTGGCCAAGGATTAAATGAATGCTGGTGATACCGCGCCAATTAAACATGTTTACACAAGATATGTGCAAAGCTGAGCCCGACAATGGCTGCCTCTGTCTGACCAAGCTTGACAACCGCAGGTCAAGCTAATTTATCTTCTATTCTTCTTACCACTGAACATCACCTGCACCACAAAAATAGGCGACGGGAAAAAAAAAACATTGTTATTCTTGACATCTCTGTAGATACTAACCAGCCTGGAGCAGCGCGTGACACGTGCGCTCGAGCGAGGCCATTCCAAACGTCTGCGCAGACTTCATCACCTCCCAGCAGAGTTTCTTATCTACCATGCGGCCCGCATCGTGCTTCTGTTCTAGATCAGTCACGCTCGTGTACACGGACTTCAACGTTGCCGAAATCGCTCGCTCCGTCACCACCCCGCCAAACTTAATAGCGGGGACGTTATTATTTTGGAGAAGCAGTGGCGTGATTTTGCTGCATGCGATCGCGAGGACGAGCTTGTGAGCTCCGAACATCACAGACTTTTTTGAAGTTGAATCCGACGATCCGACGAGGATGTCAAACTGCTCGTGGTGGGTGTGACTCTGCGAGCGGTAATACAACTTGCCGAGTAAGCTCAGCATGATTCGTATCCGCATCTTTCGAATGTCAAACTTGCAGACGAGAGGCTCTTTCGACGTCACCTCGACATACGCCGTCAGATCCCACAAGCCTTTCCCCTTCACGAGAAACTTGGACTTGTTCATGTTTTTCGCCAGTATCGTCGTGAACACCTCGAACGCCTGCTTGATCTCCGGAAACAGGAATTTGTCGTCCATCTCGTCGATGGTCGCCGTGACGTCGGCCTCGTGCAGGTGTATCGTGCCCGTGTACAGGTAGCACTTGAAGACGTTGAGAATGTACTGGCTGCGCACGTTCAGCGTGTACGACGGCAGTGACCTCTTCAGCAGCACCTGGTCTGTGAGGCGAGGATTGCAGGTGGCCAGCAACAGCCGGTGGCAGGTGAACGAGTAGGTGCCGCCAGCCGTCTGAACGCTGCCGTCGACCAACTTCTGCTTCGTGAGCAGCTTCGCGGCTTCCTCTAGCAGGCATTCTCCGTACTGCTGGATCTCCTGCGTTAGCTGCTCGTGCTGCAGCACCGCACAGGCCGTCATCGTCGCCGGGTGGGTCGCCAGACCGGGATCTACGACCGTTTCACGGAGACTGTTTTACGTGACGTAGTGCGAAGTTCTCTTGTGGCTACCGGATGGGGTTGATCTGAAACACGGACAACGTGCCCATACATGGAATACGTTAGCAAGACCGGATCCTATAAAGTCGTAACCTTGTAACGCCTAGTCTTAAAAGTCCAAGGGACTACACTGAAAACAGAAAGAGACAATGTTGATCCCATCGATAGATCAACAATGCAGATTGAAGTATAAAAATGTTCACATTTTTTTCCAAAATTTTACAATTAACCACAGCATAATCCTGTCATGTAGGGAGGCAATAAAGCTCGGTAAAAAAGAAAGAATAGGCTAAGGTTGTTTGTCCAGTCCTGTGCAGGGTGGGCTGGTACATACAGTACGTCACCAGTACACCTATAATACTAATAGAGTGATGAATGTATGATGTGCATTAGCACTCGATAACATTACTAAGGCTAGACGAACGAAGATATGTGGACGTAGAGATCGGCAATAACGTAACGCCGCAATCACTGCGCGGTTGAGGAGGATCTAGGCTCTAGGGGTGGACAAACTTGGCGATTTTTCATGCGATCGAGCCGGCCGACCGAGCCGGCCGGCTCCATCGCATGAAAAATCATGTAGTGTGTCCAGCGAGTCGCGGTCGATTTTCGAGTCGGCCGGCCGAGTCGCCCGATTCAAACATGTTTGATAATTATTTAAGCCGGCCGGCTGCAATCGCCTAGTGTGCCCGGGTCTGCGATTGAGCCGGCCGATTGTACAATTCATCAGCCTATCAGCGTGCTGAAAATCCACAGAGTCGCCCGACTCAGTCGCGTAGTGTGTCCACAGAGCCGCCCGACTCAGTCGCGTAGTGTGTCCACAGAGCCGCCCGACTCAGTCGCGTAGTGTGTCCACAGAGCCGCCTGACTGAGCCGGCCGGCTCGATCGCATGAAAAATGCGTAGTGTGTCCACAGCTTCTGACTGTGTTGTGTAGACTGTAGACTGGAGACAGAAGTAGACAATAGCTTGCCATGGTCTGGATTATTATTAACAACATTTAAGTCAAACTATGTGACCATGCAAGGATTCATAGAAACGCTGTTTTTCAAATGAATATACCTACAACATATCGTGTTTCACATACAGGTAACCATGACTTCTGATCTTTATTTAACATAAAAATGGACCGACTATGTTTATAATTATCTACATGGCTCTTGAATAACGCGTACAATGTAGATGGGGTACCATACCATTCGACACATACAATGGGCTGGTTGGTGATTGGTCACATTTCGAGGTCCCGCTTATTTCATTTTACGTGTAAGAGCGCAATAAAATACTATTCGCTAATAAAGATAGATTACTGGCTACGTTGTTAACAATAAAATCTTATTAGCCACAAGAAAAACCAGATTGATTTAATTTTAACATAAAATCCAGCCTTTTTAGCCAATCAAGTATCGGGTATCAGGACAACCGGTCAATTTTCGCCACAAGGTGTCGCTTATCCGTCACAGGTTCCCGTGATTCCCGCTAGGGGGCGGAAGGTGTCGTTTCAAACCAGAGCTCATGTTTCTAACTATGTGTGTCAAACCAAAGCCCGGCTGTCCACGGGAATCCATTCGCTGTACAAATTTCATCAAATGAAATAAAAATAGGCCAGGCATTTTCTAACCAATATCCTATGAACTTGTCAATATCCGACAAGAGTAAAGAACGGATATCCGAGAGTAGTTTGATGTACCAGATGCCTATATACCTCAACGTATTTCCAGGCGCAATATTTGTCAATAATGACAGTACATTCAATGTTCATGATGTTTAGACCGTTTGAAAATCTAATGATACATGTATAGTAGAAAAACTATGTCCAAGCTGCTGTGGGTATACCCTGTGTATATAGGCCTACATTCTACATCTAATTTTTTAAGTCAAATTCTGTGCAAACATTTATCAGGTCAAACTGCTCTTGCGTACACACCTTCTTATATGAATATATATAGTATCATACATACGATTTCTTTCGGTACTGGGCATGCGCGCACGTAAAACGGACTCTATACTATAGCATAGATATAGACAGCGGTTTGGCATACTTCTCATGAAAGGGAAATATTCGAGAGAGATATATTTCATGGCAAGCTATTGCTGATAAGGTATATGTAATCCATATTATACGTGTGAGCAAAATTTCAAAATAACGGCAATAATTTTGTCAGATAGGAGAAATACACGAACATATGATAATGTATACGTGAAAATACGGTGGCTGGGTGGTTCATCTACGTAAAATATTTAGAGATATTTATTGCAAACTACTGTTGAACATGACTCCTCAATTTTAAATGTATGATATCAGCAGAATTGCATTTGCTTTGGCAGATACTGAGCACGTGCGAAGATGCAAGTCAGCCGATACAGCTCCGCGTTTTCCAGTTTCCCTACATCTTTCTCTCCCTAGCTGCTTATCTCCACTCTTCTCCACGCTCTTAATAGCATTTCTGATAGCAGATACTGGACACGCGTGCGCAGAGATTTGACCTTATACGATATCCTGTCTTCTTCTATCTCTCCCGCCTATTCCTTCTACCTCCTCTTCCATCTTCCCCACCTCTGCCGCCTCCTTCTCTCGCCTTTATCTTCTTCTTCTGTTCCTCCACTTCCTCCTCCCATCACATTCACCTCCTCCGCCTGCACCTACTTCACATTCCACGTTCAAAAACATTAAAAAATTGGAAATTTTGCTACCGAGCGCGGGGCAACGTCACAACACGAAAACACAATGGCAATATAAAAAACAATGTATAACAAAAGGCGCTCCATCTAAGATTTTCTAAGTCGCTCCATCTAATTACCAGAGAAATGTTATACATTGTTTTTACATTGTTTCTTAAATGGAGCGCATTTCGTTATAACATAAAGCCCGGCGCACACGTGGCGATTTTTATCGACAGTACCGGACGTGTGCGCTGCACGGCGTCACCGATTTTGACGCCAGAAACTCGTCGTTGGAATATCAAACACGTTTGATATTTGTTGCCCAGTCGCTGAACAATCGCCACGTGTGCGCCGGGCTTTAGTCAAAGTTTCCACACGGCAAAAAATTGGTTATAAGTGCCCAGCTAATGCCACCAAAAAGAAAGGCATCACTGACTCGTCGAGATATTAAGCATCGACAAGATACCGCCCGCAAGAAAGTCGCCCGCTGTCAAGAAACTCCTGATGTCGCAGGTAAGATTTTCAACCGTAAACGTAAAACATACAACGTTCAGATTGACCTCTAATAATACTCTTACAAGCTATCTTATTTTTTTTAGTGTGTGTGTGTGTGTGTGTGTGTGTGTGTGTGTGTGTGTGTGTGTGTCTTTGACCACCTAACGGACATGGACAAGTGATCTATAAATCAGTTTTACTCTCGCTGGGGAATAGTTAGAGTAGTTCGCAGGCGCGTGTGCGCGCATAATGACGGACATAATAGACAAATAAATATACAATAATGAAATCTGTGGATTCGCGCACTCTTCTCAAACGCTGCCGCACATCAGACGTGGGTGAACTAGTACTTTCTTAGTAAATTTGTGTATGAGCATATCGAACCGCGCACGTTAATTCAGAAGTATAAAACAAAATTGCGCAATGCGCCCCTTCTAACAAATACAATGCTAAAGGGGGGCTTATGTCGGGCTTGCGAGCCGACTCGACTGGAAGCAACTGGCTGCAATTCACTGCGACTGCAGTAAGTTATTTTACTCAAGTAAAATGACGCACGAGTCAAATTACTCAACGAAAATCCGCCGCACACGTGAGTAAAATGACTCATGCGTCATTTTACTTGAGTAAAATAACTCACGTGTGCGCCGGGCATTAGGTCGGTCGACTGCGACGCGACTGCTTGCGACTGGCCTCCACTAGTTGCTCGGAATAGAACAGTGTGCAACTGGACGCAACTAGTCGCTGCCGATCGCTTCCAGTTGCTCGAAATCCAGTTGTTATCTTTTAACGCTATCGGCAGATGGCGCGCTATTGTTCTCGATCGCGCCAATCTGGTTGCCATGGAAGCGATCTGTGTACTCTACAGTCATTGTGCGCTACTGCGAAGCACACATCGTACAAGAAAAAAATAACCTGAAGCCAATGGGAAATTTGATCGGTAAATGTTGCGGAAAAAATCACGACGACAAGGAGAATAGAAGGTAAAAGAACACGCGTGTAAAATGTATTATACGTCGTAACTATACGGTATACGGATAGGTTTTTGCGCGTGTGAATCGAGTAGGCGAGTGTTAACGGGATTTATTCCTGAGCGCGACGACTCATCTTCGATGCCAGCCATATTATTACTATTATTATTATTATTATTATTATTATTATTATTATTATTATGTTGCTGTGAATTTAAGTGTATTTAATAAATAAGTTCTGGTTGCGTACGACATTAATAATTATACGACATTAATGCTTAATTAAAAAGCGAAACGCTCTGCTCAGATACAAAAAACGGGAACGTTAATTTTTCATGGCGCTCATATACAATATTTTATAAATAATAATAATTTTGTTATTCTATGACATATTAATAAATGCGTATGTTTATATGAGAAAATACCTATAATATATACTAGTAATAAAATCTCAAGGGGTATTTTTTAGGCTATAAAAAACGCGAAAAGTTGCCCCTATAATTAGGTAGAAGAGCACGTTTCACGAAGAAACAGACAAAATGAGTGTAGACTAAAACGTCGCACATATTCTGTAGCAATTCGATTTAATTCTAGTTAATTCTATCTGATAACTTCTCCTTTTAATATTTAATTTTGTTTTCGTATGTCGGCAGCGAGATCTACCTTCCTACTTTGCGTCAGTGGGAAAACCGGAACGTTAGAAGTGTCCCCGTACGACTGACGAACGCGCGCTGTACCAGCAACTGCTCCTCGGTCCACGAACGCAGGTATGTACGCTACAGACTACGTTTCTATTTATTTTTATTGAATTTATGTTCATTTCTTTATTTATTAAAGTAAATATCCACGTATGACAATCATTTCAAAATTCAACAAATCAGATAGCTACCAAGAATAATTACACAAACTGTATGTAACACAAGAAGACATATTTCTACTATGGTGAATGCATAAATCAATCAATAGATGAATGAACGTATGCGTGAATGTGTAGCGTTGAACAAGTTTAGTACTATGTCGTCATAACCGACCATGTTCTCTCTCCGCGTCCCCTTTTATACCCTTGGGCGTGCCCTTACCGTCGGGCGCGTCCCTTCTCGCCTCGCCGTCCGCTTCGGCCATCTCCCCTATTGGTTCGGCGTCGGACATTCTTATGACGAGTGACCACCGGGTCCATCTTACGTCAGTTTGAACTGTGTCTAAACCCAACCCTTTGGCCTTTGGCTGGCTGCCAAAATGTCCCTGGTTACTTTTATTCTGCATGCGTTGCTTCGTGGCTACTTATCTTAACCCAGAATACTGCGTGCTCGTCTTCCGTATCTAATGTACCTTCCGTGGCCCGCTACTATTTGCAACATCTGCCGTTGGCATAATTACCAATCTTCTAAGCGTTGCGATGTTAATTATTCAATGTGCTGTTGGACGCTTCTATAATCGTTGTCCCTCAAACTAATTTCTAGAATACTCGTGCCACTATCGCCTATGCTCCCTATTCCTACATTTCAATATTAATTTCCGCTCTCATGATTTCTGCTTTATTACAAATGAATGAATAAACGAATGCGACTACTCGCTCGTTGCAGGGCGCTACTCGCCACACGTTCGCGTAGCGCCACCCTTCAGGACCGCAGGGAGCGAGCGGCAAGGATCCCACAGAGGGCAGCACATGCGGCGAGGCTGCGCGCCCTCGTGGCAGCCGAGGAGAAGAGGAGGATGGATGCGGCGGCGCTGCTGTACGCTCGGTGAGGATTAGCGAGAATCTGGCGCGACGACGCGCGATGTCGCTACGGTTAGAGTGGGCGACGACAGAGAGTTATACACCTGTGTGTGTGCGCGCGTGTGCGTGTTTGTGCGTGTGTGCGTGCGTGCGTGCGTGCGTGCGTGCGTGCGTGCGTGCGTGCGTGCGTGCGTGCGTGCGTGCGTGCGTGTGTGTGTGTGTGTGTGTGTGTGTGTGTGTGTGT